ACAGTTTTCGACGGTGGTGAGTAAAAGCTGTTTTAAAAACTAAACTGCCGATAATAAGAATGGAGATGCAGTTTCTAGTGCGGACTTAGAAATATCCAAACGTGTTGGGAGCGGGGAGCAAGAGACATAACTCTCTTTAATCGTTGCTGTGTAATTTTTATCGCGAACTTCTCCAAAATTACCTGCCTATAAATCCAAGAATCGAAAAAGCACATCCCATAAATCCGAGGTTTTAGAAGATGGCACACAATGATAGTAAAGAAAAAGAAAAAAATAAGATTTAAAAAATTAGAATATAAAATAATCTTTATACTGACTCGAACCAATATATAAATGACTAGACTAACTAACAATTACATTTAATAACACGTTTACACGAATGTCATAAAAATCACAGAAAATCAAGGAAAGATGCAAACTAGTCGCTTTGAGAGGACCCACGATGCTTAAAAGTGAACCCGAAATACAAATGAAAAACTGTATAACCTCAGAAAAAGGTGTACAGAATGTACACAATAGTAAGTGTTGTCCATATTACCCAAATACGTAATGTAAATGTACCGGAAACTATATCTATTGCGGTCATATTGTCAGCAGAACCTGATTAAACTAAAGTAATCTAAGTAACACATTGCTCACTTAAGAAATCTGTGTAGGAGATCCCTCCCACACACAACCGCGTGTACATAACCGCGCACACAACCACGCACACAGATACACACGAAACCAGAGTTACGCAATTTATTTTCTTTTTATTTCGAAGTTTTGAAATTATCTAAATAGCCGAGTTTTGAAGTTTGCGAATAAGAGCATCCCTTAAAAAAAAAAAAAAAAAAAAAAAAAAAAAAAACAGTATGAAACAGGAAGTTAAAAAAAAAAGAAATTCGAATCGTGTGTCTCTGTTTCTTTACCTCTTTTGGAAAGTTTCGTTTCGGCGGTGGAATCCTGTTAAAAATTTGTCTGTTACTTGATGAAGTTGTTTTTACTTCTCCTCGAGCAACGGATGACGAAGACAAGTGACAGGACTGGGGGAAGGAGAGAGAGAGGGAGAGAGAGAGAGAGAGAGAGAGATAAAGATATATATATATATATATATATATATATATATATATATATATATATATAGAGAGAGAGAGAGAGAGAGAGAGAGAGAGAGAGAGAGGAGGGGGGAGATAAAGAGAGAGAGGGAGAGAGAGAGGAGGGGGGGAGATAAAGAGAGAGAGAGAGAGAAAGGGAGGGAGGAGGGAGAAGAAGGGAGATATTTTGAGAGAGAGAGACAGACAGACAGAAAAACAGAGAGACCGAGATAGACAGAGAGAGAGAGACAGACAGACTGAGAAAGAGTGAGGGGGATGAATAGTGAACAAAAAAAAAAGAGAGAACAAAGGAAGTTTGTCTTCTCCTTAGTCTACTGAAGTCTGCGTATAAAGCTATTTTGTAAAAATGGATGAATTACGTCAACTCCCCCCCCCCCCTTAAATAAAAGAAAAAATGGACATTGTATAAGCGTAGTAACAATACCTACAGTATATGAACAAACACTCCATTGTTGTTGTTTTTTCTTTTTTTTCTTTTTTTTTCTTCTCCTTTTTCTCTTTCTCTTTCTCTTTCTCCCTCTCCCCCTCCTTGTCCTTCTCCTTCTCGCACTCCTTCTCCTCCTCCCTTCTCTTTCTCCTTCTCCTTCTCCTTTCCTTCTCCTTCTCCTTCCCCTTCTCCTCCTACTCCTCCTCCTTCTTCTCCTTCTCCTTCTCCTTCTCCTTCTCCTCCTTCTATGTCTTATTATTATTATCATTGTTTTTATTATCATCATCATTATTATTATTATCATTATTATTATTATTCGTCTTATTCTTATTTCCTCTTCCTCTTCCTCTTCCTCTTTTCTCTTCTCATTGATAATCAATACCCAAGAAAATCACGTCTCACCTTTAGTATACACTATATTAGTACATTAGCATATTTAGTACACGCCTTTAATGCATAGTGCTCCCTTACTTTCCACTTCTGTTTATCCAACCTCACGTTTTCTTCAATAAACTGCTTTTCCAAGAATCCTACGGCTTATGTGGTACCAGTTATTATTGATCACGTACAGGCAATCTCTTGGTGTCAGAGTTGAATAAAAGGTAAGTGTATGTTCATCTGTTAACACAATAAGATGAATGCATGAGGTTATTAAACTGATGAAATCGTGTCAGAGCTGAATAAATATTTACTCTCAATTGCAGTTTTGAACATTATATTTGAGGTGATTTTTGGGTTAACATATGCAGAATTGGGAAACATTTTGTATGAGATACCCAGACTTGATTTGTCATTATTATTTTATTATTTTATTATTATTATTATTATTATTATTATTATTATTATTATTATTATTATTATTATATGTTTAATTGTTTATTTATTCATTTATTTATTTATCTATTTATTCTTTTTTTTTAAGTACGATACAGATTAATTCGTCCGTTCGGTATTATAACAATGATTAGGAGGATATTAAGGAGCTTCGACATTGCCATTAATGTGAACTTTCTGCAAAAGGTTTTAGTATATCGTTTGTGAGAGGTTTGTTTTTTTTCATAGTAGGGAACACGAATATACCAATTATTATGTCCTTATTCATTACAATAAACTGATATTGCTGAAACACAAGTAAAGAATCCGTCATCGTGTACTTTGATCGTGTTATAAGAATAAAAGTAACGTTCTTTGATTTGACCGTAACTAAAATACGCTTGTTTGTGATTGGCAAACACAAGGTAAAAGGGAAATCTGAAGTCACGCAACAAATTCAAAATTTCAAGGTTTTGAACAAAGCAAAAAAAAAAAAAATCGTGTTCTTTATATAGTTTGTGTTTTGATGCACATAATTTGCATTACATTACGTCAATAGTAAGACATTTGATACCTAAGCCCAAATGCAGATGATTCAAAGGTAAGGTTGTCGTCCTCTTTGTCTGTCTGTATTTCTTTCCCGTCTATTTGTTTTAACAGTAACCTTCTCCTAGACCAAGGAACAATCGCTTTATCATATTACCTTGATATAAGCCTTCGATATACATCAGAGATTTGAAAGTCCACGACGATATCTTCTTCAATGCACCTCTCGTTTTATACTGGTTACTACTGAATCACAGACGATCATTACTGTTTCGACGACCCTGTGCCGATGATAACTAGGTGTTAGGTCGTCTGTAAGTTGAGGGGTATTATTCCAATGAAGACTGAGAGTATGTGCTAAAGAGGATGGAAATAATATTAAAGTCCTCTACCTTCATACATTAAGGTGAGAAAGTAGTTGGCTGAAAGTCTTCAGTGTGTGTAGATAAGTAGAATGTATTAAAGAGAAGGATATTAATATTATAATGTTCCAAAATATGCTTTTGATCCCATTAACGTTG